GTAATGTTGTGCTGATTTCAAAGTTATGTATCAACCTTCCTCCTTCGTGCTTCGCATATCGAGGATTCCCACAGTACGCAGGATCAGCCAATTTTTTTTCTCGCTTGAAACAACATCACTCTCCACACCAGAGATGGCCTTACAGTCACCAGGGTAGACACCATCAGGGTCTTCGGCATGATTATCGAGTCCCGCGGAACCCAAACAGTACACAAGCTCCGGACTAAGACTGAGAATGCCATACGACTCGTACGTAGAGTATACCCAACAGGCACCAGGGCCTCAAAGAAGACAACCTGCTGCGTCTCGTACACGCGTTTGTTTTGTGTCACTTTATCTACGTCACTGCTGAGCGCGATCAACCAATGCCCTTATTCGCAAGGTAGTCAAACGAGCCTTTGGTCTCCCTGTCACCACTCCAACGCACCAATTTCTCGAGCTTAGCGTACATTACACGCTACAAGAGATCACCGAGGCTCAGGAACGCGTGCAACTGACCCGACTCACGACCACCAAAACGGACCGCCATATTCTGTGTGAGCTCGGCTTCTTCTCCTCGACGGCCAAGGCGACGCTGTTTTGCATGCAGGGTTTAATCTAGAGATTATAGTGCATAAATCAAGAAAAAACCTAGAGTTGACTCTAATTCCCCGTGAAATCCGCGACCTTATCGCGATCACTCCTATTCTGCGAAACGTACACGCCGAATACAACAGAGGCAGGCACCTTGCGCGGGCGACCACCTTTCTCAAGCGCATGGACATGGAAGCGGGCAACGTCTCGTTCGTGGACGCCGCTACCTATCACAACAACCGAGCTTTCGCCGCGGTCACCGTATCATCCGCGTGGCAGATTCTCAACTCTGCCACAATGATCGCCCGAAACCCCGAAGTAGCTGAGCAAGAACTCATCTACAGCGACTGCAGACCAACCATAAAATCCTTCGATCGCTGCGTCATCTCCGACAAGGTTTTACGTATCCCATGCAGCGCGGACCCGAGTGCCCTGAAGCACCACACTGTCATCTGGTTCTCCGCCCATCTTGGCCAGGTTTCTTCGGGTGCCCTATCCAACCTCAACGAGATCGCCCATGATGCAGCATGCGCACATACTGAACACGCTGCCGCATGGCAACCCCATCTCGCTGAGTGAGATACCAATCGGGATGCATCCATTACCTATAATGACATAACAAGCATTTTTTACCTTGGATACCGAATGTTTCCACCCCCACATCCAAAAATTGACAGACCGCAGGCACTAACCCTACGCCTATTACAGACCCACACGTACCCAAACCTTGCCAGGCTTCACGTTTACTATCCTGATGTATACCCGAGCGACACGTGCCCCTTGTGTGCACACACGGCGACACGCGCACACATGTTCTGGGAGTGAAGAAACACCCCTCCCGACTCTACCTCAAACAAGTGGAAGAGGTCCCTCGGGAGCTAGCCCACTTCTCGCCGACCAGCAATGAGCCATCCAGCTGGCCCACGAAGCGGCCGCCAGGTACTCCCTGTCGGTCCCTACGTGGGAGACGCCCGCTATGCGCCAAGCGCGTCCTGCAGAACTGAAATAAAGGTATTTCCTTCCATTTCATTAAACAATATTTTGATGACGCTTTCTCGCGCTGTAGATAATCCATCTTGTAAAAATTGGCAGATCCCACGTACAGTGGGAATCGATGATATGTGAAGCACGAATGAGAAAGGTTGATATGTCATCTGAAATTCAGCACAACATTACGCGGTGGAAGAAATAATGTCGTACATGACTTCCGTGTCATGATTATGATGTTTGGATGTGTCGTCTACTTTCGTCAGTTATTCACGTCACGTGACACCAAATTTAGTATATGTGGAGCTAGCGAAACGACCACGAACACGCTATGACCGTGGTATGTTGTCATGTTCTTACATGAAACGCATGTCAGGATTATCATGTTTGCACCAGTCATATATTTTGTCTTTCATTGACGTCACGTAACACCAAATTTGGTATATGTGGAGCTAGTAATACGGCTGGGATTGCACCATGAAGGGCCCAATATACTCTAATGTAGCGTTGACGCGCGCGCACGCGGGGCACAGCAACGCTGCGTTAGCAAATCGCGAACACTCTATAGGCTGACATCAGGCGTGACCGGCGCGACCAGCGTCCGTCGAGGCAGCTTGATGGCAACCGGTGCAAAATGGAACATGCTGTATTTGGCGCCGATGCGTTACCCAGACAATACTGCGTTACCCTTTTTTCGTGACGGAGGGACGCCGGACGCTCTGAAACGCCCATGCGTCAGAGCAACGCAGCGCGGCGCGCACCTGCCTGCGAGTATATGTCAGGAACGGCGCCTGGCGTGGCAACGCCGGCGTGACGCGACGAAAGGAACGCCGGCCAGCACGTGCACCGCGTCACGTCAAAATGTATTGGCGCCTTGACTGTGGCATGTAGTCATATTCTTACATTACACGCATCTCATGATTATCATGTTTTCACCAGTCACGTACTTTCATCATCCATTGACGTCACGTAATACCAAATTTGGCATATGTGAAGCAAGCGAAACGGCCGCCAGCGCATCATGAGCCCGGTATGTAGGCAAGTTGTTACATGACACGCATCTCATGATTATCATGTTTGCACCAGTCACATACCTTCTTCATCCATTCACGTAGCGTGACGCTAGCGAAACGGCCGCGAGCGCATCATGAGCATGGCATGTAGTCATGTTGTTACATGACACGCATTTCGTGATTATTATGTTTGGATGTGTAAATACCTATGTCGTCTGTTCGTGTCGTCTAATACCGAGTTTGGTACATGCGAAGCTAGTGATACGGCCGCAAGGGCATCATGAGCGTAGCGTGTAGTCATGTAGTTACATGACGCGCATCTCATGTTTATCATGTTTGCACCAGTATCCTACCTTCGTCATCCAGTCACGTCCCGTAATCCCAAATTTGGTATAAGTGAAGCTAGCGAAACGGCCGCCAGCGCATCATGAGCGTGGCATTAGTCATGTTGTTACATGACACGCATCTCATGATTGTCATGCTTGCACCTAGTCACATACCTTTTTCATCCATTCACGTATCGTAATACCAAGTTTGGTATATGTGACGCTAGCGAAACGGCCGTGAGCGCATCATGAGCGTGGCATGTATACATAGTCATGTTGTTACATGTATGACACATCTGTCATGATTTTCATGTATGGTCTGTCGCTTGTGTTCTCCATGCAATCACGTCATACCATACCAGTTTTCCAACATGTCATTTGAACGAAACCACCGCGAGAGCTGCCGGACCATGAAATGTAAATCCTTACATTCATGACATTCGTGTCATGATTTTCTTGTTATGGCTAGTCAAATATGTTCTTCATACAGTCATGTTATGCCATACCAAGTTTGGTATCGATATCATTATCGAAACGGCCCGGATAGCTAAAAGTCGTAGGCGGCGACAGATAGATAGATAGATAGATAGATAGATAGATAGATAGATACGCTCAATGTTGCCGAAGTTCGCTAAGAAAGGCTTCGCATTTAATAACTGTGCTGTGGCCTAATATTATTAGAATAGCTTGATGATCAGTTCAGGAATTAGAATCGGGCATAACTCATATTTTCTAAAGTTGGTCGCTCGCTAAACTTAAATGCCATTGCACGCAATCCTTGATCTAAGTGTCATGACAGTTAGCTGATATAAATTATAACGTCACGTTACAAGTTACGTTTCTACGAGAAATGTAGAATATAAAACGTGATTCTAATTAAGCTATTGTAAAAATCTATTCCAAAGCGTAAAAGTTTGTAAATCCTGTGACATTCTCTGGGGAAGAAATATCTTTACAGAATAACTAATATTTAACCTTGCATCTTTCTAGTTACAGTTTCGAGCCTTCCAAAAAAATTCGCATGCTGCTTGGGGTGCTTAGTTTTTTTCGTCAAATATGTTTTCAGGGAAGGCTTCTTGTTTTAGGCAGATAGCAGTAATTTTGTTCTTTTAAAGAAGTCACAATACAGCCTCAACGTTGGGACATGTGTTGTAAATGAGGCTCGTTTGTAGTGAACGAAAACGCAATAATTGTTATTTCTGGTATTCAGATGAGGTGTTGTATTTATGAATTTTAAATACATATAAAGTGGACGAAAACACAAACTGCTCCCTCTTAATGGTGGCCTTATCGGCAAACGCCTAATGGGGGTCCGATGTCCAGAGGTGCAAAAGCTTTTCATCCAAGCTTACGATTTGGTTTTACCTGTCACTCCTACAGCGCAATTAAAAGTACCGAATATTTTAAACTAAAAATGAAACGTTTACTTCTTTACACGTTGGCTTTGTATGAATGTTTCTGAAAAAAAAAGAAAAAAGGCGTGGCGCCCACTTATTGGCCATGAATATAAATGTCCTCTTGTCAGCATCTTTCTGGTGGAGCCGTAGCATCGAAAAATTCATATATATAAAGAAGTCTGGATATGAACGTTGTCTTTGCATCACAGTTGTAATATGTGGGCACGCACCTGCAAGCTATGCGGTTTCCGTCATAAAAATAACTTGTTATACAGTAAACGCTGGAGTGCAAATACTTTTGATATATTTAACATCTCTCATCACCTGTATCACATTACGATGATCAGCGCGGAAGGTAAATTTTGTATTATTACTCATCGCGCCCAGAGATAACACGCTATGTCAAAGCTTGTAACGGCTTCACTGGATGTGTTCAAGAGGTCGTGATTCACAGCGGGTCATCATCTGTCTTTGGTTATTGGCACACATTTTGGGCCTCTGATCCTGTTCCACACCTGCGCAGTCATTTCATACCGTGACCAATGCGGTGATAAACAAACGGTCTGTCACCTGACGTTGAAACGCTCTCGAAACAAGGAAGATAAAATAGCACGATTAGACATGAAGAAGGTTCCGCGTTACCCTAGTCAGTTTCCCTATATATAAACATGGCGTCTTATACCGGAACAATGCTACGTCGTTCATCTGCCATATTCTTAGGCGCTCTTTCCTTTCACAGCTGTCACTCCAATACAGCACACAATCAAGCAGAAACGATGGCAGACTACGGAGGTAGGTTGCTTGCTTTTATGTCTTATATTTTTGCGGTAAATGTGCTGGTTCTCGCACACGAAGCTGAAGGCTATACTTGTGCTAAACTTTTGTATATTGGTCTCTGGTGTACATTGGTTACTGCTCACGGCTGGTTATTTTTTCATCCACTTTTCTTTCTTCTTATTTACATTCCATTAGTTCTAATAACTTCCCCTGTACATTCCTTGGCATTACTGTCTGTTAGATCTCATTAATATTGTGTTAAAACACGGAAAAACAAGCCCTTAGGTATACACTTCTTTCCCTTATATATATATATATATATATATATATATATATATATATATATATATATATATTTCATCATCAGCCTGACTACGTCCACTGCAGGACAAAGGCCTCTCCCATGTTCCGCCAGTTAACTCGGTCCTGTGCTTGCTGCTGCCAATTTATACCCGCAAACTTCTTAATCTCATCTGCCCACCTAACCTTCTGTCTCCCCCTAACCCGCTTCCCTTCTCTGGGAATCCAGTCAGTTACCCTTAATGACCAGCGGTTATCCTGTCTACGCGCTACATGCCCTGCCCATGTCCATTTCTTCTTCTTGATTTCAACTATGATATCCTTAACCCCCGTTTGTTTCCTAATCCACTCTGCTCTCTTCTTGTCTCTTAAGGTTCCACCTACCATTTTTCTTTCCATTGCTCGCTGCGTCATCCTCAATTTAAGCTGAACCCTCTTTGTAAGTCTCCAGGTTTCTGCTCCGTAGCTAAGTACCGGCAAGATACAGCTGTTATATACCTTCCTCTTGAGGGATAGTGGCAATCTACCTGTCATAATTTGAGAGTGCTTGCCGAATGTGCTCCACTCCATTCTTATTCTTCTAGTTACTTCAATCTCGTGGTTCGGCTCTGCGGTTATTACCTGCCCTAAGTAGACATAGTCTTTTGCAACTTCAAGTGCACTATTACCCATCTCGAAGCGCTGCTCCTTGCCGAGGTTGTTGTACATTACTTTCGTTTTCTGCAGATTAATTTTAAGACCCACCTTTCTGCTCTCCTTGTCTAACTCCGTAATCATGAGTTGCAATTCGTCCCCCGAGTTACTCAGCAATGCAATGTCATCGGCGAAGCGCATGTTACTAAGGTATTCTCCATTGACTCTTATCCCTAACTGTTCCCATTCTAGGCTTCTGAAAACCTCCTGTAAGCACGCGGTAAATAGCATTGGGGAAATTGTGTCCCCCTGTCTTACACCCTTCTTGATTGGTATTCTGTTGCTTTCTTTATGAAGCACTATGGTAGCAGTTGATCCCCTGTAGATATCTTCCAGAATGTTTATATATACTTCATCTACGCCCTGATTCCTCAGTGTTTGCATGACGGCTGATATTTCTACTGAATCAAACGCCTTCTCGTAATCTATGAAGGCTATGTATAGTGGTTGGTTATACTCTGAGCATTTCTCTATTACCTGATTGATAGTGTGAATGTGGTCAATTGTTGAGTAGCCTGTTCGAAATCCTGCTTGTTCCTTTGGTTGATTGAATTCTAATGTTTTCTTTACTCTGTTAGCAATTACCTTTGTAAATAGCTTGTATACTACAGAGAGCAAGCTGATCGGCCTGTAATTCTTCAAGTCCTTGTCATCTCCTTTCTTATGTATTAGGATGATGTTAGCGTTCTTACAAGACTCTGGTACTCTTCCCGTCAGGAGACACCTCGTAAACAGAGTGGCTAGTTTTTCTAACACAATCTGTCCTCCATCTTTCAGCAGATCTGATGTTACCTGATCCTCACCAGCAGCTCTGCCCCTTTGCATGCTCTCCAAAGCTTTTCTGACTTCTTCTATCATTACTGGTGGGGTGTAATCTGGGTTACTGCTAGTTCCTATAGTATTAAGGTCGTGGTTGTCTCGGCTACTGTACAGATCTCTGTAAAACTCCTCCGCTATTTTAACTATGCTATCCATATTGGTAGTTATTTTGCCTTCGTTGTCCCTTAGTGCATACATCCGACTTTTGCCTATCCCAAGTTTCCTCTTCAATGCTTTGACACTTCCTCCGTTTTCAGGGCGTGTTCAACTCTCTCCATGTTATACCTTCTTACATCGCATACCTTACGTCTATTAATCAACATCGAAAGCTCTGCCAGTTCTATTTTGTCTGTTGTGCTTAACACTTTCATGATTTGACGCTTCTTAATTAAGTTCTTCGTTTCCTGGGAAAGCTTGCCAGTGTCCTGTCTAACTGCCCTGCCTCCAAATTCCACTGCACACTCCGTAATGATACTCGTCAGATTATCAATCATTGTATCTACGCTAAGGTTGGTTTCCTCTCTAAGAGCCGAGTACCTGTTCTGCAGCGACACTCTGAATTCCTTTACTTTCCCTCTAAGTGCTAGCTGATTGATTGGCTTCTTGCGTATCAGTTTCTGTCGTTCCTTCTTCAATTCTAGGCGAATTCGAGACCGTACCATTCTATGGTCACTGCATCGTACTTTGCCAATCACTTCCACATCCTGCACGATTCCAAGGTGTGCACTCATTATAAAGTCTATTTCGTTCTTATTTTCGCCATTAGGGCTCCTCCATGTCCACTTGCGGTTTTCTCGTTTTCGGTAGAAGGTATTCAAAATCCGTAACTTATTGCGTTCTGCGAATTCTACTAGTAGCTCTCCTCTGGCGTTTCTAGTACCGATGCCATAATCTCCTACTGCCTGGTCTCCAGCCTGCTTCTTTCCTACCTTTGCATTAAAGTCGCCCATCACTATAGTATACTGTGTTTTTACCTTACTCATTGCCGATTCCACGTCTTCATAGAAGCTTTCAACTGAATCGTCATCATAGCTGGATGTAGGCGCGTAAGCCTGTACTATCTTTATTTTGTATCTTTTACTCAGTTTAATTACGATACCTACCACCCTTTCATTAATGCTATAGTATTCCTCTATGTTACCAGCTATGTTTCTGTGAATTAGGAACCCCACTCCCAGTTCTCTTCTGTCTGCCAAGCCCCTGTAGCAAAGGACGTGCCCATTCTGTAGCACCGTATAGGCCTAATCTGTCCTCCTAACCTCACTGAGCCCTATTATGTCCCATTTAACACCCTCTAGCTTCTCGAATAGTACAGCTAGACTTCCCTCACTAGATAAGGTTCTAGCGTTAAACGTTGCCAAGTTCAGGTTCCAATGGCGGCCTGTCCGGATCCAGAGATTCTTAGCACCCTCTGCTGCGTTGCAGATCTGACCGCCGCCGTGGTCAGTTGCTTCGCAGCTGCTATATATATATATATATATATATATATATATATATATATATATATATATATATATATATATATATATATATATATATAAGGGAAAGAAGTGTATACCTAAGGGCTCGTTTTTCCGTGTTTGTTTTAACACAATATTAATGAGATCTCACAGACAGTAATGCCAAGGAATGTACAGGGGAAGTTATTAGAACCAATAGAATGTAAATAAGAAGAAAGAAGAAAGAAAAGTGGATGAAAAAATAACCAGCCGTGAGCATATATATATATATATATATATATATATATATATATATATATATATATATATATATATATATATATATATATATATATATATATATATATAACTCATCCCCTGATGAAGGGAGGTCCCCTCCCGAAACTGTTGGGAAATAAATATATTTATCCTTGTTGACAACGCTCCCGTTGTGCCATATCCCATACCTTCACGAAGACTAACTGGCCCATTGAATTATTACTCCCACTATATATATATATATATATATATATATATATATATATATATATATATATATATATATATATATATATATATATATATATATATATATATATATAGGCAGGCATGGTCGTTGAGTGGCCGTAGCGTTGCATATAGTCCATCAGATCCTCCGTGAGCGGTCACAACGTGGTTTATTTCGACGTTTCGGCCTAGAGTCTGGCCTTCATGAGGATTAAAGGAACAGTTTGTTGGTGCTCAGCTTTATACAATTTCAAATCAGAGGGAAAGGAAAAAGGAAAAAGAGACAGAAAAAAGCAAAAGAAGAGGAAAAAAAGGATGACTGCCTCCGTGGTGCAATTCGCTAGCGCGTTCGGCTGTTAACCTTAAGAAAAAAGGAAAAAAAAAAGAATATAAGGTGGACTCCCCTCGGGCGCATCCTTTCGAATGCGTTATTCGAAGGCCGTAGGTTCGATTCCTGCTCATGGCTGGTTATTCTTTGCCCCGCCGCGGTGGTCTAGTGGCTAAGGTACTCGGCTGCTGACCCGCAGGTCGCGGGTTCGAATCCCGGCTGCGGCGGCTGCATTTCCGATGGAGGCGGAAATGGTGTAGGCCCGTGTGCTCAGATTTGGGTGCCCGTTAAAGAACTCCAGGTGGTCGAAATTTCCGGACCCCTCCACTACGGCGTCTGTCATAATCATATGATGGGTTTGGGACGTTAAACCCCACATATCAATCAATCAATCGGGCGCATCCTTTCACTCTTCCTTCCACTTCCCCCATCATCTGTCTCCCCATTCTCCCCTTCGCCTTTCTGATGTCAGCGGTCTGTGTATGCTTCCTTTCACTAACGCATTCTTCCCGAAACGCCTCCTGGCACTGGCTGTTCAGTGTGGGGCAAAAAAGAGCTTTTTTAGGAAGTCCTAAGCCTTTAACTACTCGGAGCCCCGTCAAAATTTTGTCGTAGAAAGAGGCGTGCCGCGTAGAGCGGCAGAGGCTGGTAAGCGGGCGCAATGCGAATTTCTTGCCCGCTTCTGGATTACGCGTGCAGTAGGGGCCTCCCGGCTGTGCACAGGTTGCTGTTGGGCATGTCATGCATGGTACAATTGATTGGGTAGTAAAAGAAAACAGAAAACAGATGACAGCTGCACTTAGGAAGAGTAGTTACACTTGGAATTGTTTTGAGTTGTCCCGTGCCCTTCGCAGCTGCAGTGCCGTGAACTCAGTTACTATTTTTATTATTGCCGTTATTGTTTTCTAATGCTTTAATTGCTGCAAGTG